CGTTCCGGAGACCCGGGCCGCCCGGCACACCGGCTCCCGGCTCGGCCGCCTCCTGGGAGAGAGCCCAGCGCGGCGCGCCCAAGCGGCTGGAGAGACCGATGCTGATGTTTGCAACGTTTTTTTTTTTTTTTTTTTTCCCCTTTTGCTTTTAGAACTGGAACTGAACACCAAGTGCGTGGTAGAGATGGAAGGGAATCAAACGGTTCTGCACCCTCCTCCTTCTAACACCAAACAGGGAGAAAGGTAAGGCGGGCACCGAGAGGGAGGGGAGAGATCCTACAAGTTGGGGCCAGGAAAATAGGAGTGCTCTTTCCTATTGTTAGAAGGGCGGCTTCAAGTTTGTCGCACGGTGTTGTCTGAAGCTGTTGCAAGTCCAAGTTCCTCTCCTCCCTCTATACCTCCCTTCTGCCGTCCCATCTAGAGGCATCTGGCTAGGTATCCTGGCCATAGCCCGCCAGAGTCTATATGGGGCTTGTCACCTGTACCCTTGAAGGTCTTCAAGATACCCAAAATTGAGGGGGGAGGGGGTAAGCATCGGACCATAAAGATGATTAGTGTGACGGCCCCATTTTACACATATGAAAACTTAAACCCGAAGCAGGCAAATGACCTGCCTAAGGCCTTCTTGGTTGTAGAGCCCAGTGCCCCTCATCCTTTCCATGCTTGCACTGTTTGCTTCCCTTGGCAGAATTGTTTAGGGACTTGTCTGCAAAATGGGAGAAAATAACCCACCCAAAACAATAAAGCAAAACAGGCTTGTACGATGCAGGCTCAGGCCTGGACCATTTAAAACCTATTTTTTTGTTGGTGCTGTGTTGAGATAATGCCTGAATGTAATGCGGGAATTTTGATTTTCAAGGAAACAAAAGTAGTGCCCTGAACTGTGTAGACAGTGGGGGATGTTTAAAAGGAGGCTGCATTTACTTGATGGCAACATATTTGCATTTGAAAAGTAGTAACTGTTGGATCCTTATTAATTCTGCCCTGTTCTTGTAGCTGTATGGGAAAATGCCCTAAAATAATTTGAACATTAGGAATTTATTTTAGTAAATGCCTTCGGTGAAAACTTGGAATTAGTTCAATATAGCAAGGCAGTAGTTTGTAAAAGCATAAAAAGGGAAAAAAAAAGGTTTTGCAAAGTTAATTCATCTCAGAAGTGAACATGAGTGTATTTGTAATTCACCTGTTGATACACTACATTAGTGAATTTTGCTTTTGAGGTTTTCACTGAAAAAAACTCTGAAGTAGGGGATGTTACTTTATTGCTAAAGAAAGAATTGCTACCATTTCTAGAATCATGTGGTGGTCAAGCATAGTTCTGCGAATCTTTGGAAAAGAAATTATGAGGAGATAGTGCCCTTGATTAAGAAGCTCTGGTAGCGTAGTGCTTACGAATCAGGCTGTAAACCTTAAGGTCAGCAGTTCAAAACTACCAGGTGTTCCGCGGGAGAAAGAAAAGGCTTTCTGCTCCTATAAAGATTTACAGTCTCTGAAGCCCTGTACAGGGTCGTTATGAGTGGGAACCGACTCCATGGCAAATAACCACCACTAGGGTCTTTGATTGGGGATTCCCTGCTTTTTTGTGTCAAGTGTAGCAATTTTAACCCAGTTTACAAAAATTTTTCAACCTGTAGTCCTGTTTGTTCATTGTTATAGAGTTGCTTCGACCCATTTGTTGTTAAGTTCTGTAGAATCGCGTCTGACCAATAGCAACCCTGTATAGTGTTGCCGAGGTACAGCTGGTGAACTTGAACTGCCGACCTTGTTGTTTAAACCGACTTTGCAGTCCAGCGCATTAAACCACAGTGCCACCCATAGCTGCCCTGTATAAGGTTTCAGAGGCAGTAAGGTTGGTTTGAATCGTAAGATGTGCAGTTGTGCGGTTCAAGTTTTATCAGTTGCTCTTTGGAAACCCTATGCAGGGTTGCTTTGGGTCTGAACTGAATCAGTGTCCCTCTCACCAAAGCTTTCCCCCCTAAATTGGATATTGCTATATTGTTTCAGAAAAAAAAAAACAAACTTCTGCTGGTTCAGATTCTTCAAAACAGGTAGCATGTTTTAACTCCTGTTATTTGGCTGTTGTGTTTGATGATGTGTTCTGCCTTTGCTGATTTGACACCTGTTCCTTGTCACTCTTAACCATGAGTGCTACTGTTTGTTACTATTCATTGAAATGAAGCTTTGTCATTTGTGGAAGGAAACATTTAATTTTGTGGAATTTGGATAACTGTGGACAGTTGGTTAGAAATGCTAAATAATCAGTTGATCATTTTCAGGACTGCTACTGCCATTATTAATCAGAATCTTTTAAGAACTGTAGGCTGATTTTTTTTTTTTTTTGATTTATTTTTTATTTATCCATCTGCCTGGTTATTGGAATATCCCTTATCTGGAGCTATAAGACTAGCACTGAAATATGGGTATTTTCTTATTTTGTGCTTTTGAGGGTAGCTGGGGTCCTTTCTATGGGATTGCTCTCTGTGTCCTGGTTTTATAGACAAACCAAGTGGAAACAATGCTACTTGTAGATTAGGATTACTGTCTTTGCTAGGATGAAGACATCAAATGCATTTGGATTTTCATTATGCAGCTTGGTTTCATATTTCTCCACCGGATTTTCTCTTAAAGTAACAGTGCATTTAAAAATAGAAACAGTTGCTCCCTTGGGCTCTTGGTTGATTAATTGCAACAATGCTTCATGTTATACTGGCAATTCATTTCTCTTATTTGTTTAGGGACAAACTAGGGGCAGAGAGAGGGTGAATGAGGTGAATACTGAGAATATTATTATTTTCTTAACTAGAAGTCTAAAGGTTTAAAGCTTAAGAGGTCCTCAAACTAATATTGGTGTCTTAATTATATAGTGGGAGTCCTGGTGTGGTGCTGTGGGTTAATGTGCCAGACTGCACAGTCGTTTAAACTGCAAGGTCGATGGTTCAAGCTCACCAGCTGCTCCTCGGAAACCCTATACAGGGTCGCTATGGGTTGGAACCGACTCAACAGCACTTAACAACAACAACAATTATCTAGTGACATCCTGGTGTGGTACTGTAGGATAAGTACTGGACTGCAAGGTTAGAACCACAAGGTCAGCGGTTCAAATCCACCAGCTGTTTCAGAAACTCTATACAGGATCACTCTGAATTGGAACCACCTCAACAGCACTTAACAGCAGCATGGTTATCTAGTGTTGCTATAATAAATACCACAAGTGCATGGCTTTAACAAACAGAAATTAATTCTTTCGCAGTTGAGGAGACTTGGGTACCAACCAAAAAGGTTAGCTGTTGGAACCCACTAGGGCCTTCCTGGGAAAGAAAGCAGTCTGCTTCTGTAAAGATTTATATCCTTGGAGATCTGTGGGGCAGTTCTACTCTTTCTGTGGGGTCGCTGTATGTTGTAATTCACTTGATGGCAGTGGTTTATGGAATCAGCCAAAATGACATGTCGAGGACTAATAAATCATAGGACTTCTGAGCTTAAAAATGTTTGTTTTGGTCTAAACTGTAGGGTTATAATAGCTCCAGGTTAATAGTTGAATTGTGTATTGGTCATGTTCTGAAGCATTAAGAAAATACAGACATTTGTTTCTAAAACTTCCATTGCGTTGCTGTCCAGGAGACGTTTATGAAGTTCAGCTCATACTGTGTGTGGTAAAGAGAAATACAGACCTTGGGCCAACTCAATAGACTCTCATCTTCCAGAGGTGTGGGAAGAGACAGGAAAAATGTTCAAAAACAATTCAGAAACTGTAGGAGTATACTTGTCTTTACATGTACCATATTGTTTGGAAATCACCCGTTTCCTCTTCTGTCCTTACTTGAAGCTGTGAGCTCCCCAAGCCAGGCAACTTTCCTACTTATTTGTGTCTGAACCCCACTCATTTAGTACCTAGAGGGTATTGTGGAATTGACATGTTGTGGTTAGGTGCTTTCTTCTGACTCATACTGACCCTGTACAGGGTTTCCAAGGAGCAGCTGGTGGGTTTGAACTGCCGACCTAGTGATTTGCAGAGCAGTGCTGCTCCTACAGAGCCACACGAGGAGTCCAGTTTGCAGAGACAGGTGGCATTTGTGCTGGTGCTGCTGGTGTATAGGTACTTACAGTGTTCATTTTGCAAGAGCCAGAGAAACTCGTTTGTCAAATAAAGTGAAAGTATACCTGCCACAGATGACTTCTGGGTTATATGTGGAGATGTGTGGAGCAGGATGCTGAAGCCAAAATATCCGAAGTGCAACAAGATAATGAAAAGTTTCCTTTTCACTTCTCTGCCACCTGTTAGTCCCATCTCTTCACTACACAGACATGTGTACTCACACACACACGAAAACTGATATAAATCTTAGCTAGTATCTTTGATAATTTCTATATCAATATGATAAGAGCTTATTCATGCTTTTATTTTTTTACATCCTGTTTGGATAATGGTAGTTTTAAAAATACAGACTGATGGATTCAATTCTTATAATTTTTAGGAAGCGAAGCTTTACCATAACCAGAGTGGAATGGAGTTGCAAGTGAATTGCAAGGAAAACTTATAAAGCAAAGTGTAGATCTAAGTTAGCTAAGTAAAAAGAAATACTGGGCTAAATTTGGGCTTTCAGAAAAGGTTTACATCTAAGTTTTATTTAACTTCTTTCTCATTTTTCCTTACTGTACGGTAGATGGTATACTTTGAAAAATATATGGAAGGTCATCTGTCTCTTGGTCAACTACAAATGTATTATTTAGTTTGTGCATTAAAGATTGCAAATGTTTATTTCCAAGCTGGTGGCCCATCTGTTCCGAAGGCTTATAGAGTGCTTCCTACTGCCCAGGTCTCTCTCCCGCTGCCATACAGTCAACTCAGGCTTCTAGCGACCTTATAGGACAGAGGAAAACTGCCCATAGGGGTTCCAAGACTGGAAATCTTTATGGCAGCATGTCATTGCATCATTCTCCAACAGAGCTGCTGGTGGATTTGAACCAATGACCTTTTGGTTAGTAGCTTTAGCCACTATGCCTTCAGGACTCTCTAGAGACCAGAAATTTAAATATTAATCAAAATCCTACAAAATGAAAAAGGTAAATCCCCTAAGAAGTAACGACATTGCAGATTATAAAGTAATTTTGTGTGATTTTTTTGAATTGTATTCTCTGTTGTCTGTGTTACTCTCTGGCTCAGTGATGACAGAGTTCACTGTAAGAAAGCCAGGAGTGTTTATTGTTCACTAGTATGGGAAAATGGAGTCCTGGTGTGGCAC